GCTCTCGGTTAATTAATAGTGTTTTTAGTGATGACGAAGAAAACATTGTTTAATTTATATTAATATGTATCACTTAAAAAATTTTAATGAAGATATTTATCTTAATTATGAAAATATACTAGCATGTTTTTTAATTTTTGGAACCTAACCCTCCTTTTCGTATTAGTTCTTTGTTTCGTATAACACGGATTCGCATAACACGGCAATTTTTTGGAACGTAACTACCGTGTTATACGGGGGTTACCTGTACAATAAAACAAACACTTAATACTTTTTATTCGCCAGGTTGAAAATATTTTTAAGCAGGATATATTTTTGTAAATTCTAAAAATTAATAAAATAATTCTAGATTAAAACCAAGTAAAACTACTCTTTATTATCCAATTTCGAGTGATTTATTTTAGCGGACAAACAAATAACAAAGAAATGCTAAACTTTAACTTTAATTACCAATAACTTCATGTTCATAAAATCCAAATGCATTTTGGATAAAGTTTATTGGATGCCTCAACTGGTAAAACTACTCTGGTATGACTACGCTTGTACAGCACCCCTATCAGATGGGAGACAAGATTTTGAAATTGCTCTGAAGATGGAATCTACTGTATTCTGAAAGCATTTATTATAATTAAAAATATTTCCAACCTGATTTCTAAAAAGTATTGTTTGTTTTATTGTTTTTTTCTTACTGATTTAATCTAAGTCAAATATTCTGTTGTATTGAATTCACTCATCTTGGATTGATTTATTTTATATGGAATTAATTTTTATGAAAATTAAGTTAGAAAGTTCAAGATTCTTTTTATAATGGATGCTATTAGTCATTTCAAGTTCTATTAGATTAGTTGGGAAAATATGAAGGGTTCAGTATAGAAAAATAGCTTATAAACTTGGTCTACTAAATAAGGCTTGTTACATATAATAATAGTAATATATGTCCTTTTCTTTGTATGTGTTTTTCAGTCATATTACTAATTATTTCCTTTCAGACTCAAAACTTTATTTATTAATTTAATTTTCATAATCTGTGATTGATGTAATGAATTCAAACTTATTAAAGTTAAAATTGAACTCTATTCTAACTTTAGAATTTTCTACAATCAAAATTTATTCTACATTAGTCTATGTAATAAAATTTATTAAATAGTAATGATAATTCAAATCATATTTGCTTGACATTCTTGTTTTACTTTTATATAATACATTAAGTAATATCAAATAATGATAATAATGGCTGGATGGCCAAGAGGTTAAGGTTGCATCCCACTGTGCTGGGGACCTGAGATTGAATCTAGATGGGTTGAAAAACCCTCAGGAGTTTTTGAGGTGGTCCATCTGGATGTGTTGGGCCCTGTCTCACATCACTCAGCCTTCCCACTGTGGACCTGGTCAAACTCATAAATAATGTGTTAACAAAAATTTTAATCTAATAAAATATAGCAATAAGTAGAAATTTTAAATTATTCTATTTTAATTAAATCTAAACTTTTTAATAGCAAATGTATCTCAAACATATGGAAATTATAATGGAACTCCAATGCAGCAAAATACCAGCATGATTGAAACAAGAAATCAAGGAATGATGCAGCAGGGTTTTAATCAAACATATGTAAATCCTCAAACAAGAGCTGGAATGATAGCACCAACAGGACAGCAGGGACAATATATACCTCAGACTACAAGATTGGATAGGTAAGATAAAATTATTATTTTCACTTATCAATGAAATAAGTTGAAATTAATTCCAAAAATTTTAATTTTTTTTTAACTCTGGGAATTACACAGATAAATATACTTAATGTTGACATTTAATCAATAAATACTTATTTTTATTTATTTATTTAAGCATACTGGTTTCACCCATGATGCAGAGAATACAAACATACAAATAATTATTACAGAAAAGAAACAAATTATACACATAAATATAATACAAATTTTACAAAACAGACAATAAGTAATAATATTTTAAACAAAATATCAACATAATCAAAATTATGGGGAGAACTAGCCAAAAAATAAAAATTGTATAAAAAACAGAAGAAAAATTAATTATTATGTCAAAACAGCAGATAGTCTCCCAATATTTCTTAGGCTCGAACACACATTTAAAGGAAAAAATAACGCCACCTCTGTGCAAAATCAAATGATCCAAAATGAAAAACAAATCAAAATACGTGCCAATCTACTCAAATGACAACTGAAACAAAATAATCAACAAAAAAGTTATCAAAAAAATAGTTTAACTTTCTGGATAAAGAAAAATAAATTAAAATTATGTAAATTATCAGTAAGGTCCAAAAATTTTTCAAAAGAAATAGTAGAAACACCAAAAATACTTTCACATAGTTTAGAAAAATTAATACACCTAACTATCATGTGATACACATCCAAAGACTTATCACTTTGGCAATGTATGCAGATAATTCTGCAAAAAATTAAGATAATTACATCTAACTTGCATTATCATAGAGTTAATATTATAAGATAGATTATTATTATTATTATAAACAAAACTATCAAAAAAACGATTTATTTAAATACTTATACCAGGTATTATAAGGACTCAAATTAATATTCCTATTCAAGTCCGAAATAACATTATCAAAATAATCTAATTTCAGTAAACAGTAACAGTTATAATTATTTAATAATTCATTGAAATGAATACCATTATTAACACAGTTATTCCTTAAACTTTTGGTCCACAAGAAGTCATTCTTATTTATAATATAACATAAACCATTTTTCATCCAATTCCATTGTTCTGAAAATCCAATTCAAACACTTATTTAAAAGGAAAAAGGTAATAACGAATAATCCATAAAAGTTAAATATCTTGGAATACAACGAAATAAACGAAATAAGTTTTTAATAAAAATAGCCAACATCGGATCTAATTCATCAGATTGATAACCTCTATACCTCAGAAGCATGTAAAAGGACGAAGTAACAACTGAATTAAAAATCCTCACACACTCACTCATGTTACATAATTTAGCCAATTTACACATCTGAATAACTGTCAGTTTTAATAAAAGCATTCCTTTTAGAAATCTGAATGTGTGATTTATATTTTCCAGTACACTTAAACACTACACCCAGATATTTATATTGCAAAACTACTTGTATTACATCATTTCCAAACCACCCTTTATCATACTTAGAAAGTTTACTTCCATTATGAAAAACAACAACTTTAGATTTTAAAAGATTCAAACTTATATTATTTTCTAATAAATACTTATCTAAAATATTAATAAATCCCTGTAAACCTCTGATGGAATTGGCAATCAAAACAATATCATCTGCATATGCCAATATTTTAACACTAGTTCTGTTCACATCGATACCTTCATAATCAGAATTATTTATTCATTCAATTAAGTCATTCAAATATAAACTAAACAAAACAGAACTCAAAACACAACCCTGTCTAACACCTGTAGCTGTAAAAAAAGGCCTAGAGCAAAAACGGCCACATTTGATTCTCTTATAATTCCGCAAGCAAAGAAACAAATTTAAAGCTCGGACCATATTTTAAAACCTTTCTCCACATTAAGTTCCTATCTACGGTATCAGAGGCCAAAGACAAATCAATGAAGAAAGCATATACTTTATGCCTTTTTCTCATTGGCATCTTAGTGATGAGAGTGTGCAAATTAAAAACATTATCAATAGTAGAATATGTTTCTTGAAAACCAGCCTGATTCTCAAATAAAATATCATTTAAATTTAACCATGTTATTACCCTATAATACAGTAGATTACAAAAAAAATTTTTGAGACAGTTTAGCAAGGAAATTCCTCTTATAATTACTAGAAATCAATTTAGAGCCATTTTTATATACTGAACACAAAAGGGCACTTTCCCAGTTCTCAAGATTTTATCAAAACTTTTAAATAATATCAGAAAAACAGAATCCATCTTCCAAAATTCTGAGGGAATACCATCGACACTAGGTGCAGAACCAACTTTTACTTTATGTAAAACGTATCTCAATTCAGATTCCATAATATCTGCATCCAAAGTTTCATCAGACCAAGATAAACACTCATTAAAAACTGACAAGTCTACAGTATAAGGAAGTAAAGAGCCATATAGAGAAAAAAAATGTGTAAACCATGCTTCCAAACAAATATTCACTCTATTATTACAAAGGTTGTTCTAAAAGTAAAGAATGTTTGTTTGTCTAGATATTTTTAAGATAATGAAACAAAACTTATTTTACAATACACATGATATCTTAGCTATTTTTCTACATAGTCACCATACAAATTTAAGCATTTGTCATAGTGTATCACCAGCTTTTCTATGCCTTCTGTACTCAGTAACTGCAAAGTTCTTGAACCAGTCATTAATGGCCTCTTTCAGTTCGTTGTCACTTTCATAGTGATTCCTGGCCAAAAAATCCTTCAATTTTGGGAAAAGATGGTAATCACTCAGAGCCAAGTCTGGGCTATAGCCCAGACTTGGCTCTGAGTGATTACCATCTTTTCCCAAAATTGAAGGATTTTTTGGCCAGGAATCACTATGAAAGTGACAACGAACTGAAAGAGGCCATTAATGACTGGTTCAAGAACTTTGCAGTTACTGAGTACAGAAGGCATAGAAAAGCTGGTGATACACTATGACAAATGCTTAAATTTGTATGGTGACTATGTAGAAAAATAGCTAAGATATCATGTGTATTGTAAAATAAGTTTTGTTTCATTATCTTAAAAATATCTAGACAAACAAACATTCTTTACTTTTAGAACAACCTTTGTAATAATAGAGTGAATATTTGTTTGGAAGCATGGTTTACACATTTTTTTTCTCTATATGGCTCTTTACTTCCTTATACTGTAGACTTGTCAGTTTTTAATGAGTGTTTATCTTGGTCTGATGAAACTTTGGATGCAGATATTATGGAATCTGAATTGAGATACGTTTTACATAAAGTAAAAGTTGGTTCTGCACCTAGTGTCGATGGTATTCCCTCAGAATTTTGGAAGATGGATTCTGTTTTTCTGATATTATTTAAAAGTTTTGATAAAATCTTGAGAACTGGGAAAGTGCCCTTTTGTGTTCAGTATATAAAAATGGCTCTAAATTGATTTCTAGTAATTATAAGAGGAATTTCCTTGCTAAACTGTCTCAAAAATTTTTTTTGTAATCTACTGTATTATAGGGTAATAACATGGTTAAATTTAAATGATATTTTATTTGAGAATCAGGCTGGTTTTCAAGAAACATATTCTACTATTGATAATGTTTTTATTTTGCACACTCTCATCACTAAGATGCCAATGAGAAAAAGGCATAAAGTATATGCTTTCTTCATTGATTTGTCTTTGGCCTCTGATACTGTAGATAGGAACTTAATGTGGAGAAAGGTTTTAAAATATGGTCCGAGCTTTAAATTTGTTTCTTTGCTTGCGGAATTATAAGAGAATCAAATGTGGCCGTTTTTGCTCTAGGCCTTTTTTTACAGCTACAGGTGTTAGACAGGGTTGTGTTTTGAGTTCTGTTTTGTTTAGTTTATATTTGAATGACTTAATTGAATGAATAAATAATTCTGATTATGAAGGTATCGATGTGAACAGAACTAGTGTTAAAATATTGGCATATGCAGATGATATTGTTTTGATTGCCAATTCCATCAGAGGTTTACAGGGATTTATTAATATTTTAGATAAGTATTTATTAGAAAATAATATAAGTTTGAATCTTTTAAAATCTAAAGTTGTTGTTTTTCATAATGGAAGTAAACTTTCTAAGTATGATAAAGGGTGGTTTGGAAATGATGTAATACAAGTAGTTTTGCAATATAAATATCTGGGTGTAGTGTTTAAGTGTACTGGAAAATATAAATCACACATTCAGATTTCTAAAAGGAATGCTTTTATTAAAACTGACAGTTATTCAGATGTGTAAATTGGCTAAATTATGTAACATGAGTGAGTGTGTGAGGATTTTTAATTCAGTTGTTACTTCGTCCTTTTACATGCTTCTGAGGTATAGAGGTTATCAATCTGATGAATTAGATCCGATGTTGGCTATTTTTATTAAAAACTTATTTCGTTTATTTCGTTGTATTCCAAGATATTTAACTTTTATGGATTATTCGTTATTACCTTTTTCCTTTTAAATAAGTGTTTGAATTGGATTTTCAGAACAATGGAATTGGATGAAAAATGGTTTATGTTATATTATAAATAAGAATGACTTCTTGTGGACCAAAAGTTTAAGGAATAACTGTGTTAATAATGGTATTCATTTCAATGAATTATTAAATAATTATAACTGTTACTGTTTACTGAAATTAGATTATTTTGATAATGTTATTTCGGACTTGAATAGGAATATTAATTTGAGTCCTTATAATACCTGGTATAAGTATTTAAATAAATCGTTTTTTTGATAGTTTTGTTTATAATAATAATAATAATCTATCTTATAATATTAACTCTATGATAATGCAAGTTAGATGTAATTATCTTAATTTTTTGCAGAATTATCTGCATACATTGCCAAAGTGATAAGTCTTTGGATGTGTATCACATGATAGTTAGGTGTATTAATTTTTCTAAACTATGTGAAAGTATTTTTGGTGTTTCTACTATTTCTTTTGAAAAATTTTTGGACCTTACTGATAATTTACATAATTTTAATTTATTTTTCTTTATCCAGAAAGTTAAACTATTTTTTTGATAACTTTTTTGTTGATTATTTTGTTTCAGTTGTCATTTGAGTAGATTGGCACGTATTTTGATTTGTTTTTCATTTTGGATCATTTGATTTTGCACAGAGGTGGCGTTATTTTTTCCTTTAAATGTGTGTTCGAGCCTAAGAAATATTGGGAGACTATCTGCTGTTTTGACATAATAATTAATTTTTCTTCTGTTTTTTATACAATTTTTATTTTTTGGCTAGTTCTCCCCATAATTTTGATTATGTTGATATTTTGTTTAAAATATTATTACTTATTGTCTGTTTTGTAAAATTTGTATTATATTTATGTGTATAATTTGTTTCTTTTCTGTAATAATTATTTGTATGTTTGTATTCTCTGCATCATGGGTGAAACCAGTATGCTTAAATAAATAAATAAAAATAAGTATTTATTGATTAAATGTCAACATTAAGTATATTTATCTGTGTAATTCCCAGAGTTAAAAAAAAATTAAAATTTTTGGAATTAATTTCAACTTATTTCATTGATAAGTGAAAATAATAATTTTATCTTACCTATCCAATCTTGTAGTCTGAGGTATATATTGTCCCTGCTGTCCTGTTGGTGCTATCATTCCAGCTCTTGTTTGAGGATTTACATATGTTTGATTAAAACCCTGCTGCATCATTCCTTGATTTCTTGTTTCAATCATGCTGGTATTTTGCTGCATTGGAGTTCCATTATAATTTCCATATGTTTGAGATACATTTGCTATTAAAAAGTTTAGATTTAATTAAAATAGAATAATTTAAAATTTCTACTTATTGCTATATTTTATTAGATTAAAATTTTTGTTAACACATTATTTATGAGTTTGACCAGGTCCACAGTGGGAAGGCTGAGTGATGTGAGACAGGGCCCAACACATCCAGATGGACCACCTCAAAAACTCCTGAGGGTTTTTCAACCCATCTAGATTCAATCTCAGGTCCCCAGCACAGTGGGATGCAACCTTAACCTCTTGGCCATCCAGCCATTATTATCATTATTTGATATTACTTAATGTATTATATAAAAGTAAAACAAGAATGTCAAGCAAATATGATTTGAATTATCATTACTATTTAATAAATTTTATTACATAGACTAATGTAGAATAAATTTTGATTGTAGAAAATTCTAAAGTTAGAATAGAGTTCAATTTTAACTTTAATAAGTTTGAATTCATTACATCAATCACAGATTATGAAAATTAAATTAATAAATAAAGTTTTGAGTCTGAAAGGAAATAATTAGTAATATGACTGAAAAACACATACAAAGAAAAGGACATATATTACTATTATTATATGTAACAAGCCTTATTTAGTAGACCAAGTTTATAAGCTATTTTTCTATACTGAACCCTTCATATTTTCCCAACTAATCTAATAGAACTTGAAATGACTAATAGCATCCATTATAAAAAGAATCTTGAACTTTCTAACTTAATTTTCATAAAAATTAATTCCATATAAAATAAATCAATCCAAGATGAGTGAATTCAATACAACAGAATATTTGACTTAGATTAAATCAGTAAGAAAAAAACAATAAAACAAACAATACTTTTTAGAAATCAGGTTGGAAATATTTTTAATTATAATAAATGCTTTCAGAATACAGTAGATTCCATCTTCAGAGCAATTTCAAAATCTTGTCTCCCATCTGATAGGGGTGCTGTACAAGCGTAGTCATACCAGAGTAGTTTTACCAGTTGAGGCATCCAATAAACTTTATCCAAAATGCATTTGGATTTTATGAACATGAAGTTATTGGTAATTAAAGTTAAAGTTTAGCATTTCTTTGTTATTTGTTTGTCCGCTAAAATAAATCACTCGAAATTGGATAATAAAGAGTAGTTTTACTTGGTTTTAATCTAGAATTATTTTATTAATTTTTAGAATTTACAAAAATATATCCTGCTTAAAAATATTTTCAACCTGGCGAATAAAAAGTATTAAGTGTTTGTTTTATTGTACAGGTAACCCCCGTATAACACGGTAGTTACGTTCCAAAAAATTGCCGTGTTATGCGAATCCATGTTATGCGAATCCGTGTTATACGAAACAAAGAACTAATACGAAAAGGAGGGTTAGGTTCCAAAAATTAAAAAACATGCTAGTATATTTTCATAATTAAGATAAATATCTTCATTAAAATTTTCTTAAGTGATACATATTAATATAAATTAAACAATATTTACTTCGTCATCACTAAAAACACTATTAATTAACCGAGAGCGTTTTCTTTTTGGCAAGTTATCCTTATCCTCTGAGCATTTTTCTGCATTATCTTCAGATCCATGCTTTACCTTTTGCAAAATGTATGTAATTTTAGATTGCTTG